AGAACAACAGTTTAGCTAGAAGTAAACATTTTCTGAGAATTTTTCAGACCGCTTGAAACTGGCAGTGCATAGGCGCCAAGCTGAGAAGTGGCATTCATTTTCATATTAATTTAGAATTTAGAGTGAGTTTGTACCCTGTTACATGACATAAGAAGTCCTGTTTTTCCACAGAACACATTTAATTTAAAATTTGCAAGTAATAATAACTCTTCAATGTGCAAAAGTGAGTTCTTTTTGCAAAACCGTGGTATGATATGTACTAACCCAGTCCTAAGAACTAAATCATTGCCAGTGTGTATAGATGGAAAGATACAGAGGGGTTGATTTACTAAAGGCAAATAGGCTGTAGACCTTGCAAGGGAAGTTGTACTTTGCAAGGAGATTTTCCCCCAAGTTTAGCGAATGTGGTTAAGTTTCACTTTGCAAATACCAAATTATGTAAAGAAAATAGAAAAACAGCATGGTTGCTTGCAATTTCCCTTGCAAAGTGCATCTTCCCTTGCAAAGTCAACAGCCTATTTGCCTTTAGTGAATCAATCCCTGAGAGTCAAAGCAAACACATTTCACTTGACTCTTACCTAAGACTCTGGTTACTGCTTGTTGCAATGTGGTAATTGGATTTGCAGCTCAGAATCTGCCTGGGTTCAATTTGCAAGACCTTTGCCAAACTGATCAAAAAGTTTGGGAATTAAAAACATTATTCTGAACCAGGGGCGGACTGACAACTCATGGGGCCCCCCGGGCAATAGGGGATCATGGGGCCCCCTTGCCCAAACTGAAAAAAGCCTATTAAAAAGGTACCAGGGGCATCTCATGGGGCCCCCTACTGACCCCGGGCCCTCGGGCAGTGCCCGAGTTTCCAAATGGTCAGTCCGCCCCTGTTCTGAACCCCACAGAAGTCGATAGGAACTGAATCTTGAAAATCAGTTGTCTCCATTTTCAAGGCTAATAGGCAAGGAATTGTCAAACAAAGGGCATGGGAGCTGGGCACTGCCAGGGGGGACATGTACCAAAAATGTTTAAAAATTACCATTCAGTGGGGAGCAGCTTTAAAATAAGGGTTAAAGTGAAACATTAAAATGCACAATTCCTTTAAATTACATGCTTGGAGGATGCCGTAATCCTGCCTTCGACTTGATGTATCTGAAGGCTGTACAAAAGCAAAGGTGACATTTAGGTTACTAAAAGCCAATTATGTTGCGCTATACCCTAAAATATTTTTTTTGCTTCAAACTAGTGTATTCTATTCAATAAACATCATCATCAATATCACAATATATAGGTGCACAATTAATAAGTCCATCTGGTAATAGGTGACTATATTCATACAAAAGAATATCCTAAAGTACCGTAGCTCCAATCAAATCTTGTGCCATGTGCTGTTTCTCCACCACCATTGAAAAAAGCTTTTTACCAAAACATCATTTACACAGGTATTCCCAAAGTAATAGTAACCTCAATTCTCATTCAAAAGCTCAAAAAGCATAGACTAAAAAGAAGTATGGAAATGGTGCTTTGCGAGGGTCCACCCCGCTATTGCTCCGACCTATGCGTTTCGTCCATGGATACATCTTCCAGGGGCTTCAAAGATTTCCATGCTTGTTTTTAGTCTATGCATGTTGAGTTTTTGAATGAAGATTGAGGTTACTATTACTGTGTAAATGAGCAGTTCTTTGGGGAGATACAAAAAAAATGTGAGCTGACTCCACTATATTGAGGTCTGAGGTTCTGGTAAGAGGCTCTTTTTAAATAGTGATGGAGACACAGCACAATGCACAAGATTTTAGTCATTTGGGATTGGGACATTCTTTTTTATGAATATATTCATATATCATCAGGTGTATTTATTCTGTTAATTTCTGTGCACTTATATCTTGCAGTATGGGGGATGATGTTTATTGACTAAGAATACACTGGTTTGAAGCCCAAAAAATGTTTAGGGTATAGCACAGCACAAGTTGTTTTTAGTTTTTATTCTGGTGGTATTATATTTAGGTACCAGTGAGTGCTGCTATTACTGGATCTTCACTTTTACTCATTCATTTTAATTGATTGAGAGTCAACACTGAACGCCGGACACTTAGACACATTTTCTAACATTCAGGTTATGTTTACACATGTGGCCATTGCCGCCACACCTATGAAAAACAGAACAGCTTTTTAGAGGCATTTGACAGGCGATGAGGAGGCAATATGTCCCCTTCTTATTGCTTGTTTTAACTCCATAAATGCTGGACCACCGTGTCACAACCAGGTGCATTGCATTCAGTTTTGGAGAAGTTGAGGTGCAGCCCCATTCACTTGAATGGGTCACATATGATGGCAGTACTACCCTCTGAAAGTGTGTACAGCCCATCCTCTGCCTTTGCAGCTTAAAGAGGGGGTGGTAAAACATGGTTCAACTGAGTGTTTATAATGCCTTAACCGCAAAGTTTAATCGACCCCTTAGAAAGACAGAAAAACATTTTCTGCTAAATAACATCCCCCCTCCCCTTCATTCTGTTTGCAAACAAAAGGGAAGGTTATTCTTTTTACCTATAACAGACCCTTTTCCTAGATGGGGACTTGGCTATTTTACATTTTTAAAGTATATGTGAGCTCTTGCCCATTAAAACAACCCATTAAATTTAAAATAGAAATGAAAGGAAAAAGATTTGTGTATGTGTGTGTCTACAGTATCATCTGACATCAGTGCCTGACCTCACAAATGTGCTTCTGGAAGAATGGTCAAACATCCCCATAGACACCTAAACCTTGTGGACAGCCTTCCCAGAAGAATTGAAGCTGTTATAGCTGCGAAGGGTGGGCCAGCTCAATATTGATCCCTACGGACCATTAAAGCTTATGTGCGTGTAAAGGCATATATATATATTGTATATATCTATATCTGTATTTTTTTTTGATGATGACATGACCTTTGTTCACAGCTGCAATGATCATTGGAGCTACCTTGATCATTGAAGAACAGGCAGCACAGCCAGAAAACTGACCTCGCTGAGGTTGATGTGCTTTCATGTCCTCTCATGGTCATTTTGAAACAGGAAAGCTGGGGCCTGGCAGGATCATCAAGTATTTCACACAAAGGATGTGATACAAAAATAACAGGATACTTTTTAACAATTTGTTGTGAAGAAATGACATTCCTATTGTAGGTGAATGTTATGCAAATGAGGGTCTATAAGTGTGAAAAGGTCTCAGGTGAACAGCAAACATTGGGGTGAATTTCAAGCTGAGTCAGTTTTAACTATTCCTCTTATGTAGCTCTACTGCATGATACTTGTTCCTGATCTCCTTTCTAGTGTTTCTTTCTATACCATTGCTTTGGTGACTCTCATTTGAATAAAATTACTTAAACAATCCCACAGCTTTGTCTTTATAGAACTAGCTTAATGTATGTGTATATATTCTGTTGCTTCAGTTGGCTTAACTAAAACATAATCCTAGGTACAGACACTTCTGGTTAAAATTTAGTTGCTTCTTATGTCAGATAGACAAGAACTTGTCCCAGTTTCTGTCTCACAGTTTTCAACATCATGGATTTCTTGCAACATCTTTTAGAATACTGTATTATTGGGAACTCAAATAATTACAAGTGGAGAGATATTGCTCCCCCGAGAAGCACGGATAATATCTCAAACCTTGTTTTACATGTCCTATATCCTCAGGTCAAATTTTTTCTCAATGCAGATAGAATCCAATTAATAGCATGAGCTGCTGGAGTATTGCCTGCAATTCAAGCATCCAGGAGCTGAAATAATGATAGTTTGAGTACCTGGTAGAATTAAGCATTGATTGGGCACATTTAGAATGTTTAGCCGGCAGCAAAGGAAAAAAAAAGAAAAAAATAAGATTTTTTTAGGGAAAACAGGCATTGGAATATTCTGCACCTGAGGTGTAGCCATGACCACTGAGGTGACTAACATTTAAGAGGACCTGTTACAATAAGGGTTCATCTTCCTTTGTTGGAGCATGTATTTTGCGTGACCTTTTTTGTATCTGCTTTCTATAAAAAAGATTTTAACAAATGCATTATATATGCACAATAACCAACCTCTTGTCAAAGATTTCCAGCAAAACCTTAAAGCCTGGGACAGACAATGTTCTTCTTGTTTGGAAGGGCTGCCATCTTAAAGATAAACATCTTGCTATGCCTACTGCATGTCGTGTAAACAATCCAGTTAAGGTTTCCTCTTCCTTTTTTGCATCTACAAAGCAATTTTTAGTTCCTTTTTATGGAAAAATTAAATCCAAGAATTAGCCAGACACATTTGACTCCACTTAAACACAAGGCTCCCTGATATGAAACTCTAATTTTGGGCATGTTAAGTCAAAAGGCTGGTCAACCGAAACTTACATTCTACACTGAAAGACTGGGTTGTTCTCAAACAATCCTTCACGTTGTTCCCAATGAACATCATCCCGTGTAATCCTTAAATACATCCTCTCATTGGAGTGACCTCATACAGCTTTCATGTCACATGCAAGACCCTGATTCTTTCATAAGTACCTGGCCCTTTGACTCCCATATGACAAAAGCCTGACTTCCCCATGGGCATGTCCAAAAAACTGCTGCGAAAACACTAGCTATTGTCCTGCATGGAGGCAAATTAATTCTTCAAAGATGATCTTTTTAACCGCGTCCTGCCCGCCATATAGTACAATGACGGGCGCAAGGCGGTTCTCTCGTTCTGGGAGGACGTGATATGACGTCCTCCCATTCTAACCGGCATGCGTGGTGATCGGCGGTGCGCTGTGTCCCTCGGACACAGCGGATCACTGATCAACGGAAAGAGCCGAAGATGTCGACTTGGTCATGTGATCAGCTGTGTCCAATCACAGCTGATCTCATGTAAATAGGGAAATGCCTGTTATCGGCATTTCCCTACTCACAAGCTGTCACGCTGACAGCTCGAGAGGAGAGGAGAGACGGTAATCGGCATTCCTCGGAGGGGACATGTACACTGATCATCAGGGCACTGATGATCAGTGTGCCCTGACAATCTGTGTAGCCCCTTCAGTGCCACCTGTCAGTGTCCATCAGTGCCACCTGCCAGTGCCACATCAATGCCACATTTCAGTACCTACCAGTGCACATCAATGCCACATATCAGTGCCCATCTGAGCTGCCTTTCAGTGTTACCCATCAGTGCCAGTCAGTGCCACCTATCAGTGCTGCCAATCAGTGCCACCTATCAGTGCCAGTCAGTGTCGCCTATCAGTGTCAGTCAGTGCCGCCTATCAGTGTGCATCAGTGCCGCCTAACAGTGCCAGTCAGTGCCACCTAACAGTGTCAGTCAGTGCCGCCCATCAGTGCCAGTCAGTGCCACCTATCAGTGCCGCCTATCAGTGCCATATATGAGTGCTGCCTTTCAGTTCCCATCAGTGATACCTGTCAATGCCTACCAGTGCCTCCTCATCAGTGCCCATCAGTGCCCCCTATCAGTGTCCATCAGTGCAGCCTATCAGTGCCCATCACTGCAGCCTCATTAGCGCACATCAGTGAAGGAGAAAAATCACTTATTTACAAAATTTTATAACAAAAACTAAGAAAAAAACTTTTTTTTTCAAAATATGGTTTTTGATTTGTTTAAGAAAAAATAAAAAACCCAGAGGTGATTAAATACCACCAAAAGAAAGCTCTATCTGTCTCAAAAAATGATACAAATTTGGGTACAGTGTTGCATGGCCGCGTAATTGTCATTCAAAATGCAACAGTGCTGAAAGCTGTAAATTGGCCTGGGCAGGAAGGGGGTATAAGTGTCCTGTAGGCCAGTGGTTAAGATGGGCAAGACTTGACAAAATAATATCAAGTAATCCAAATCTCTGTGACTACCAAGGCTTTCTTTGTTGATTTGCACTGTAATGCCCTAAGGGTGTGGTGGGGGGGGGGGTACCTTTGCTATTGGCTCTAAGGGTCGTACTTGCCTTGATCCAACTTGGAACCCCCAAATAATGGTGTTTATGGTTTATGACCCATATCTCAACCAGTACCCCCTTTGGGATGATTCCTCTTCATCCTACCCCGTACCCCTTTTTTTGTTCTTTCTTGTATTATTGTTGACATCTGTTCTCTGTGTATTTTACTAGTGATATATGTATGTACATGAAAAACGTCAATAAAATCTTTATGGGAAAAAAATACATTTAATTATGTAATGACAATGATTGAAGAGCATTACAAATGTGTGCCATTTTAAATTTGCCTGGAGTGTAACTTTAATCTCATAGTATAATCTTATAGAATTTAACAGATTCAGTCATTAAAAATGAAAAGATTTAAGATATAGAAAAGGAAAAATGCTAAAAACTGGAAATATAAATACATAAGGTGTGTACTGTGGAGGACTTTATATGGATTACTTACACCTTGCCAACAGGAATGTGTTGTTTTATGTTATTGACACATCAGAACTGCACAGGGAACACTTACACCATCTTCATGTGTCAATTAAATCTTAAGGAATGAAAAGTCACAAACATAATAGTGTTAATTAAATGAGAAAATGCAGTCCTTGGCACGCCATTGTGAGTCTTGGAATTATTTGTTTTCTGTTTGCAGGAAGAATGACACGAGGTAATTTCCATAATATAATGATTATTCTCTGTTTTTTTAATGTCTCAGTTGCTAGGCTGAATACTGCAAACCATGTTATGATAGGCAGTTTAAGCCACTGTACAAAAATGTCATTCTCGTTTAGAAATGACAAGTAATCCCCTGAAATTTACTGTATTGTAGACTTACCCACTTCGCTAGTTTACTTTCTGGCAACAAAACAGTGATGAATGATAATTTGGTTTATTTTATGTATTTTTCTGCAAATGATTGAACAATATTTATGTAAACCATAACAATAAACTTTTCTTAGTTGCTCACATTAAGTCTGTTTAATATGCTATTGAAAGCATTTTGTTATGTTTGTATGATAAGTGCAAAAAAAAAAAAGAAAAAAAAAGATTCTGCCATAAATTTAGTGAAATGACAATCTCCTGTGCTCTCTGCCTGTGCTACACTGTTATCAGTTACCATTGTGCTCAGTTCTCTGTCAACTACAGAGCACCTCCCCCTTGTTATGGAAAAAAGGAGAGGGGAGGTTGTGTGCACAACCTTTCTGACCTAATGTAAGAATGCTCCTTCCTCCATTGATACACTAGAGCAGGGGTATTGAATTAAAATTCACCGAGGTCTGGGCAGTAAAATTTTTCATCAGAGGTCCAAATCTCATGGCCCCTGTGGTGCATTCTTGTGTGCACTAAACCATAAGTTGTTGTGGTGCAATTTTGAAAAAAAGGGACTTCTTCGTGTTTCTCGTGGGTAGTGCGGCCCATTAAAATGAATGGGCTGACCTACCAGCAATGTCTGCACCAAATGCACATATAGAGATCTGAGCCTGTTCTTACATCAGTCTCTTCAAATCCCACTGCACATCACAGTCCCCTCCTCGTTCACAGCAAGATCCCCTCATAATGAGTGTCCTCAGCTCCTGATGAAGTCACATGTCGAGACATAACGCGTAGAGTAAGCTGAATGACGTCAAGTTTTAACCGGAAGTGGACGTTCCACCATCTTGGATAGGGGATTCAATACATTTTAATGCAGTTTCTTTCATAAAAACTACACATAAAGAGTTCTTGATCCTGTAGTGTCCCAGGGGGACACGTATAAATGTGAGTGGTTGATTTTAGAGTTTTAATAAAAGTTGTTATTGGTTTGATATACTTCACCATCTGGAACATTTTTTCCATTTCTGTGGTGCGTTTTGGAGTTTGGAGGTGCATGAGGAGTTGGAAATGTTACACACCAGCGAACCTACCTGGATTAAAGGGAAAGGCGCGCTTTTGACCTGAGGGTTCAGGTGAACTGCCAAGAAGTGCGTTTTGGAGTGTGGAGGTGCAGGAGGAGTTGGAGAATGATACATCAGCATACCCGCCCGGGTTAAAGGGAAAGACGGTTCAAGTTAATGCACAAGCTGAGTGCATAAGTGTGTCGGAGGAGGATATAACACTGGGGGTCACAAGAAATCACTGGATGTATATATATTGAGGAGAGATTGCACATTATCACCTGGAGCACTGAGTCTTAAAGGGACGGTTGATTAAGAAGTATTCATTTATATTGAGACATTGTTAATATATAAACGCACAGTGAATATGTTTCAGAAAATGCATGGCTAATATGGACACTATTATGGGATGGAGCATGTTTAGATATTTTTTATATGGTGATATGATTTAGCACTTATACGGTATTTAAATAATTGTCACAGAACAAGATTTATGTATAGTTATAATTTGATTATTTTGTACTGCGCTGCATTTTTTGTATATTTTTTTTTTAATCCATTATTTACGGATTAAAATAAAACTTTGAATTACATAATACTCATTAGAAAGGTCAAACATATTAAGAATACGTTTTTTTTGTACTCTACGCATTTCATGGGTGTTCTTTCCTTAGGGCCTAGGACACACCTTTAAAAAAAAACTGAAGATAACATCAGACACCGCTCTAACCATTCGTGGAGTCCTATGTGGAGATGGCCTCAGCCATCACTCCGGTCACGCCCTCTGACACATTTTGCCATGCCCACTGGGGCGTGCCTAGTGGGCAAGTGAAACGCGTGGCCAGAGCGACAGCTGAGGCCATTTCGACATAGGACTCCATGGGTGGTTAGATTGGCATCCTTTCTTACATTGCACCCACAAAACTTCAATATGAAGATATCCAATTCATCAAGTAACCAGAGTTATTAAGGCTCGTAAAGTGCAAAATAGAGAGAGCTACTTCCCAAATAGTCTTATGAAACAACATGGAGCCAACTCAGCATGTTGAATACCAATGTCCAACCATCATTTAAAAATCACAATGATGAACATGACAAATAGGGAGAATCTCCCTAAGGGGGAACAGACAGCAATAAAAACCTGAGAGGTGTTCTAATCCCACTCCACTCTATCCAAAACTGAAAATATGTTTATCTTTAATTACACTTTCACTACTTGTTTCCCATCATCTGATTGGAGTGTAATGCAAATTAAGTTACTGCCAACATGGGGTTATATCTAACAGTAAAAAAAAAGGAATTTAGTCACCCATGTGGACCTAGCCTTATGGTGTATGTTCTATTTTTTTAAGTTTGGATAGCTTGGGGAAGAATTATTATTGTTATACAAGATTTATATAGCACCAAAAGTTTACACAATGCTTAGAATTAGAACTTCAATTAGATTTTACTGCTGTCTGGAGTGTGTTAGAGAGATTTCTGAGTGACAACGGTTTTACCAGACAGGAAGTGAGGAAAAATTCTAACAACACAGTCAGAAAAAAATATAAGTTAAGTAGGGAAAGGCCAGAAAACCTGTTGGCTTTTTTTTCTGTCTGTACGGCTCGTGCAGATTTTCCCTCACTTCCTGTCAGGATAAATCCTGTCAGGAGTTCAAATTCTTCCCCAACACAACCTACCCCTCCCCCCAAAAAAATTGGCTGGGCATGTACTTTTTTCCCAAACTAGGCAGATTGAGTAGGTCCCCCTTTTGCCATCAAAACAGCCCTGACTGACCATAGCATGGATGCCACTAGAGCTCTGAAGGTATGCTGTAGTATCTGGCACCAAGCAGTAAGTTACAAGGTGGGGCCTCCATGGATCAAACTTGTTTTTCCAGCACATCCCACAGATGCTATATTGGATTGAACTCTGGAGAATTTGGAGACCAAGTCAACACCCCATATTCATTGTTGTGTTCCTCAACCCATTCTTGAGCCATTTTTGCAGTGTGCCAGGGTGCATTATGCTGCAGAAAAGTTGCCACTGCCTCAGAGATTCACCAGACCAGGTCACCTTCTCCCATTGCTCCTTGGTCCAATTTTAATTCTCATGTGCCCATTGTAGGTGCATTTTTCTGTAGACACGAGTCAGCATGGGCTCTCTGACTGGTCTGCAGCTATGCCTAATTTATCCCACCCACTTTCAGTTTGTAACAAAATAATCAATATTATTTAAATAACCTGTCAGTGCTCTTTAAGTTATGGTTGATCAGTGCATATACTGTATACTATGTGTGTGTATATATATATATATATATATATCCTGTTTCCTTTGAATAATGTAAGGTTCATTTTTGCATCAGGATGATCCAGCCATATTGAAACGCTAGTAGCGGACAGATAAGCACACGCATTGCATTGAAAGTGGAAAATCTATTTATTTTGAGCTGTTTATTTAAGCACAGGAGGATTCCTAATGGAGCTATCAGCCCCCATTTGATTGGCTAATAGTTTAATTAGGCCCATCTGGTGGAGGCTGTGGAGAGAAGTGTCCTAGCTCCAATATTGGCAGAAAGGTAATTTTTCATCCCATGGCCCAGAGACTGGCACGTGAAAACATGTAAAGCTAAGCAGAAGCTTAGCAATCTGTCTCACGTGAGATTATCAGAGCGAATGGAGACTTCTGTGTCATTCACCTTGGCATTGGGAGAAAAGGCTCTTTTCAGCCATCTCCTTCACATGACCTAACCAGGACAAATCTTCCAGCAGGATCCT